GTCCGTTAACAACCTTCAGCCCCTGATAATAAATTGTTCCGTGAGAACAATTAGCAGAAGGCCATTCAGCCCCTCAAGCCCACTCTGCCATTCTGTAAGATCACAGAATCCCCACACTATGGAAACAGGCCATTCAGCCCAACAAGTCCACACTATCCCTCCGAAGAGCATCTCACCCAGACCCATTCCCCTACCCCTGTGTTTCCCACATCGAACCCACCTAACTTAATGGCCTGGGCACTATGGGCAATTTAGCATAGCCAATCCACCCTAACCTGCACATCTTTGGGCTGTGGGGAGGAATCAGAAGCACCCAGAAGATCACAATTCATTTGCCCCAGGCCTCGACTTTTCCCTCCTGCCAGCTCCTCACTACTCTCAATTCGATAATTCAAAAATCTACCTCCCTCCACTTTAAATACTTGCAATGATGTAGCCTCTGCAACTCTCTGGAGGAAAAAAAGAGAATTCCAGACAGTCACTACCCTCTCAGAGGAAATTCCTTCGCATCTCAGTTTTAAATGGGTGCCCGCTTATTCTGGAAGCCTGTCCCCTAGTTCCCTCGTGTGTGGAAACATCTTCTCAACATTGAGCCTGACAAGCCCCCTCAAAATGTGCACATTTCAATAAGACCACCCCTCATTCTCCTAAACTCTCACGACTTAAAAGTCTAACTTGTTTAGCCATTCTCAATAAATCAGCCCCTCCATCCCAGGAATCAGCCTAGTAAATGTCTTTTAGGCAGCTTCTGGATCCTTTCTTAAATACGGAGACCAGAACTGTATGCAACACTTCAGGATGGTCTGACCAACACCCTGTACAGTCATAAGAAGACTTCCCCATTTTGAAACTGAAAACTCCTTGTGCCAAAATTCCATTTGCCTACTTATTTACTTGCTGCATCTGCAGACTAATGTTTTCTCTGTTTCATGCACGAGAACATGCAGATCACAGTGTACCGCACCTTTTTCGAACCCCTTTCTGTGTAAACAACAGCCTGCCTTTCGATTCTTCTGACTAAAGCCATGACCACAAACCTCTCCTACATTCTGGGAGGATAGCTGAATTCAGTAAAGGCTGCCAAAAAAAATGATCAAGGAAAAAAAATACAACACGAGCGTAATCCAGTGAGAGAATAAAACACAGATTACAAAAGCCTATGTTAGGTTAAAGATGATGATTTGCAAATGTAAATGTGGGTCTTTACAGGGCAGAGACAGGATAATTTATGATGAGGAGCAAGGAAATGGGCAGAGGGGTTAAACAAATACTATGCATCTTCAACACTGTCCGTGTGGAGTTTGCACATTCTCCCCACGTCCACGTGGGTTTCCTCCGGGTGCTCCGATTTCCTCCCGCAGTCCAAAGGTGTGCAAGTTAGGGTGGATTGGCCATGCTAAATTGCCCAGTGTCTGGGGATTTGCAGGCTAGGTGGATCAGTCATGGTAAATGCAGGGTTACAGGGAGAGGGTAGGGGGTGGGTCTGGGTGGGATGCTGTTTGGAGGGTCACTGTAAACTCAATGGGCCGAATGGCCTGCTTCTACACTGTAGGGATTGTATGATGAAAGATAAAACAAACTTGAAAATATTGAGGTAATCAAGAGTCAAGAATCTTCTTCTGATTTAGGAAACCCAAAATACAATGTGAAATAACATGAAACCTCTTTCCCCTCCTTGCCTCTCACCGTATACAGTATAAAATAAAGCTGAAATAAAGTGAAATGCTCCTGAGCACTCAAATGAATTGCAAGTATTTTTAATGATAGATTTTCATTATCTGAAAGAACAGCGTATCTTGCTGAAAAGTTGATACCATGGGCATTCAACAACACTCCTCACAAAAGGTTAGGTCATGCACTAAGTGCCCACAGTGCTGGCAGTAGGATATTGGCAAGGATTAAGAAGTAGCTTATGAGGAGGAAATCGCAAGTGGGGATGAAGGATTCTTTTTCAGAATGGTAACCTGTGACCAGTAGGGTTCCATGGGGATCAAAGGTGAGACTGCAACTCTTCACAAGATACACTAATGTCACAAGGTCAGAAATCA